AACGGCGCATGCGCACGAATTAAACAGATTGTTGAGACCTGTCATATCAACGTTGAATCATCGTGGATTCAATCTTAAAAAAGCGGATTCGGAGGATGGAGATCGTGTCCAGAAGCTTCAGCCATGGAACGGCGCATGCGCACGAATTAAACAGATTGTTGAGACCTGTCATATCAACGTTGAATCATCGTGGATTCAATATTTCTTCAATGTTGAAGAAAATTAATTTTCAATATGGAGTCAACGTTGATAAGCAAATGTTGAAGCAACGTTGCAATGTTGGTTTTGAACATTGAGTCAATGTTGATATGTCGTTGATGTCAACGTTGAATCAATTGTTGATAAAAATGAACTTTCAATGTGGAATCAACGTTAATTCAACGTGAGTGTGCTACTTGGGACTGGGTTCTAGGGAATTGAAGATAATTCAAATCGGAGGTGAAACATTTATGGTGCTCGATTCTGGCCGCTGTCTCGGCCGAGCGACAATTGTGTGTTATGAACTTAGTGAAATGAACTTGGCGTTTCGACAGAACTCTTCATTACCATCCGAGGATGTACTTCTTCAAAATTAAATTTGCAAATCTGCCTCACAAAAATGATGATGATGATGAATGGTTTATTTCAAATGGGAGGGGGAGTGCGAAAGCAAATTGATCTCCCGCGTGAGGCATACAGATACGAGTACAAAAGCAAAAATGTGTCAGGATAGGGAGAAAGAAAAAAACAGGTAAAAGCATGAGATTGTCATGGTCACAGAGAGGGGAGGGAGCACCAATACGAAAAAAGGTAATAACAACGTAAAACGGTAAAAGGAGTGGAGGTAAAAGGAAAGCAAGCAACTTTTATGGACAATCGCAGTTTCACTCTCGTCTCGCCTTCTCGGGGATATACGGGAAAACGAGACTTGCTTTGTTATTCGCAAGAAAGCGCTGGCATTGCTCACTGCATTGCCTAGCGCCTGCTGCTACACGGCCATACAGGAATTTAAAGTGTCCATGATGATATATGGAGTGCGAAAGTTCATCAAAGATTGTATTTTTTTCCCGAATCGCAGTCGCATTGGTACTGACAAAAAATTTAAGTATTGTAAATATACTAAGTATATTTAAGTTAACTAGCAGTAACAATAAAAGGTGGTCTGCGAATCGTGATTGTCCTGTTTGCTGCATGTTCCATGTTTTCCTCTATTTGTATGAGCTTATGATCGATACTTGCAGTTGATGTTCCTGAGACTGGGACTCCCCCACATTCTGCTTGGTTCATTTCTCTTGGCTGCGGTCTCGCGTCTCTGCACCGACACTGAGAAGGTGTTTCCGATTACAATGGGTAACACTCTCGCTATGGTTGAAAAGCGCACTCCCCGTAGGATGCTTCTTTTAAATTATAGGAAATTTTTTTCGATTCATGGGTACTGCAATCCATTGATTTGCCGATGTGTCATTTCAAATGATAGGTGAAATGAGCTTAGAGAAATGACATCGGTGCGCTCAGCGTTGCATTGCTTTTTCAGCTCCGGGATTTACTGAATTCTTTTTCTTCACCTTTGATGACACAAAGCTCATTTCACAGGGTTGGGTGCCAAGGATAATCACAGGTCAAATGAAACTTGCAGGCTTTATATATGTAACCGTGCCAAAATTGCACGTGAACGTTCAAATTGTGTTCCAAGGGCATTGATTGAATTTTATAGATGTGTTTTCCTCACGCATATCTGAGGTATCCATTTGGCAATTGATTCAAGCATAGGTTCGCACAACCGACGCTAGATGTTGCCAAAATAGCTACGCTTAGCGGGTTTATTTCTGTTACGACTGCAATACTTTCCACACGCTTGCTGACCTTTCACCTCATAAACTAGAGGGGAAAATATTTGAATTCTTCAACAAATGGTATTAAGCAGTAACCCAGTTAAAGGAGTCGTCCGAAAACTCTGGCTCGAAAGATGAAGAGAAGATGATTCAACTTCGATTGTCATTTCATGCGGCAGAATTTTTGCGGCAGCAATTTGGAGATGACGAAAATGGTTATAATCGTTCCTGTATGAAGGCGTGCATTGCAGGGCGTGACGTACTCCTTGATTATATTATAACAGTGGATAAGATGATTTACGTACGGATGGTTTACGTAGAATGATAATTACCACACGCTTCTCTACCAGACTATTCGATAAAAGGGAAAATTCAACGACTATTTGGCGACATCATGTTCTCTGACCCATGCCAAGGGAACAAGGCTTTACTTAGATTGGATGCAATTAAAGGGAAGGAAAGAACGTTAATTGCTCATTGGATGTAGCCGCAAAAAGAATGTTCATAGAACCCTTTTTTTTTATTCCATTGAAATATCCAATTCTCGTTTTACATGAGTTCACATGGTTCAAGGAACGCCTGCATTGACCTGTTATTGATTGCTCTAAATTTCGGATATTTAAATAATCAATGCAACGTTCCCATGGACTTACATGGAACGCTGACGTTACCTTAAATGAAACTTTCTTCGAACATGTTCGGGTGCTACTCGGGTGGTAGACTCCGAAGTTCGTAGTAGCTTTCCCTACACCCTTTATTCAGGCAATGTTTCCCAGTTGTTGGTCTCGATTTTCGGTCCATGTCAAAAGTAAATTGATCTGGACGCGAACCCGTTTAATTGCAAGAGCAAACGGGATCTCCCATCGAAAATTAAATGCATCATGAGGATAAACTGTGCCATTCATGAAGGGAATTGGATTTTCTCTTCGACATGAGAACCTCATGTGGCTCAAAAATTTACATGTGAAATAATTGGCTATGGAACTCTCATCCTCCTCCGAGGATGAGAGCCTAGCGAATGAATTTTTCACGCTGCCAGGCATCTCAGATTCTGAGTTCGATACCGCGTGAAATCCGCAAATTTACGTAGTCATTCCATGTTTTGTGCTTTCTATAATGACATTATATTACCACTGTTCTGTCTGTGCATACACTGTTTCCGCCTCGTAGAGGGAACAAAGAGTTATAGGTACGCTGAAAATTTTTTAAATGTAGGTACAGATTTACACTATGACACACACCCCCTCATCGAACACCATAAAAAATGCATTAAAATGCGCCTCATGCACCAGTAAATGCGGTAATCTTTTTCAGTTAATACACCGAAAATAAATTAGGAAAACGGCTCTTTCAAAGATGACACAAGGGGTTTACAGTCGAAGGCCGACTGTATGGGATCCCAAAATGGATATTTTCTTCTATGACACATTCTGAGGAATGGACTGGCTCCCAATGTCACAATGAACGGCACCAAAATAATTTTCCTTGAGGAAAACTATTATTACAAAATCATGATGATCGATTCCTTTAATTTCCTCCACATGACGCAATCGAAACTCCCGTTTACCTTCTGCCTAGAAACCATCTGATGATATTCTTCTCATTTCATGTATGATCGTGAACGCCACGATTACATAGGCCTTATTCCACCTCCTGAAGCCAATGGATGTGATTCTAGTTCGTCCCACGAAAGAAATAAATTTTGGAGTAGCGTCAAACAAAGAAAAAAGTGGGTTACACCATCACAGTTCAGGGCATGACAAATGACCGTGTGGAATGGCAGTCATGTCTGAAAACGGAGAAAAATCAGACAGCTGATTGGGTTTCTCCATATCCTACGACAGGCGAACCGAATTGTCCTGCCTCAGTAGTTTGCTCGCTCAGATTTGTCAGTGTTGTCGACTTGTAGAGCTCAGATGGCGTACTTCCGCCCATGGTAAAGTTCGCGTTACATCATCCAGAGATATTCAAGAAAGTAATTGGTTCAGATGCTTCGCCTTTTGTCACCAGAGGGCGGACATCACTGATGAAAATCTTTCAAACTGCTGATTCTGGGAATGCACTCTCACCCAATCCAATCAGGAGCAAAAGCACCAGCGAAAAAAACCGTAGAAAAAATTGGCTACCATAAAACCATGAAATGCACGATCAGTAGGGGAGTGTTGACCACTCCCCCCCCTCCCAAAAAAAAAAGAAAGTAAATGAAATTTAGTAGTTTAAAACATTTAATAAATTTAGTAGTATAAAGTCGCTGGATTCATATATGATCTTATCCCTCCCCGGTTCATGAATTTAAGGGAAAACTTAAGGGTGAGTACAAAATATTTTCTTGTTCAAATATCCTTTTTTTCTCTCTCAAACACCATAATATTGCCCGGGTTGCTTCCATAGGCATTTATCGACTCATTTTCATCATAATTTGGTCTTGGAGATTCCATGTGTCGATCTTGAGGGAAAAGCATCATCATACTCCAAAGTAGGAACCTCCGCAACTTCTACCTCACGATGGACCTCGGGATGAAGATAGTCGGCTCCTGTAGCGAGACAGTACACGTCTATTGGTATAATTGGCAATGTAATGAATGGATTTGTTTCCGATCAATCTTGGAAGTCCTTAATTCCAAATAATTATGCGGAGGGAGGTGATGGTCTTGAGATGCAAGTAGTTCGACCTTTTCTCAGTTTAATTACCAGATTGGGATGAGGGATTCCCCGGACCGTTTATTTCAATGATTCGTGAAAAGGCAGTGTAACAGGTTCGTGTCTCTCGAAAAGTGCAGCGGACAGGATTTTGTGCAACTGTGCAAAATCCCCAAGAGATCAATGCTCATACAAAAGGAATGGTCCACATGTCCTAAGACCAATTCAAAACTGAATAGTAATGTGGAAGCAGAAGATTAATTCTCAAAAAAATTATCAATATATTCGAGGACCGTTTCTTAGCAATGTTCAGTTCATGGCAGATTTTGTCTTTCATTTACGTCACATATCCTTCAAGTAAAAATTGAATTTACCAGCACCTTACACTGGGAATTATTTTTTAATGTGCATTGGCTTTCTTCAAAGTATATGATTGCAATAAGAAGTCGCTTAGAAGACCCATTGTGGCAGTGAAGTGGACCGTGGTGGGGCGTTACAAGAAATCATGGTTTTAGCTGCCCGATACCTTTCCTATGCATGAGTTGAGGTCTACGCAATCGGACATAAGGGCACGTCGCAGTACTCCCATTTCTTCTCTGGATCGTCTACGAAACACCATGGTCGATTCTTTGATGTAGGGTTCCGACAGAAGTTTCGGTGCTTTGAGGGATTTCCCCACTGGAAATGTTTCTCATATGAGATCGCAGTATCGAAGTCATCAGTCTTTCCATACGGTTGAAAATCCCACGAGAGACATGGTGCTCCACTCTCCGTCACTCGCACTATCCCCACATATTCCTTCCCCATTTCTGTCAGTCGGCAGTCTAGATCTAGCACCGTCGGATTGCCTGTTCATATCCGGACCATAAAATAGTTCGATTCATCCAATTGTATCTTCGTACGGACGTGAAGAATTTCGAAATTTGAATTACTTTTGTGAGCCAACTGTCTCATCAAGATTATTCAGTCTCACAAGCCTCACAAGAAACTTGTGAGACTAAATCGCAACTTTTGCAACTTTGCAACTCGCAAACTTTATCTGTTGGTATATCTACTTTATATTCTACTTCGTATATTCGTGTCACCGAATATTTCAATCGGAAAGGCGAATTCACTGCAACTTTGAGAAACGTAATGTATTAGCGTAACTTATATTTATACCGTTTAGAGCTGCTTTCCTGAGGAAGTCCCAGCAGAATGGGATTTCGCATTCATGGGGACCAGTCCCGGTTTCGGTGTAACACCAGGGACCACTTCCTACATTGTTCGGATTTCGACAGTAGTTGTGGCGGCTATCGATGCCAGGATCGGGAAACATCGGCAGCGAAAGGAGGTTTGAATGCTTGTTTGGGGTTTGGCTCAGCCAAGGTTGACACTTCTCTCCATTCCTTGCCACGTTCGTGAACCCTGCATATTCTCTTCCATTACTCGTCAATTTGCATTCCATTGGATCTGAAACGTCATGAAGACAATCGATGGAGTCTTTGGCGGTAAATAACAACTGACTAATGGAATCGACATACTTCTGCAACCCAAAAGGTAAATGTGTACCAAGTTTCAGATTTCTAACCTTTCTGGAACATGGTTAGAATTAGCGTCCTTCAGTCAGTCAGTCAGTCAGTCACGATCGTCTATATATATCAGATGCTATTTGTTATCGCGCCTCGAAAATGGACCAACGCAATCTATTCATTAAGAGCTTGAGATTGATTTATCACATGCTCAATTCAACCTGTGGTCCACTTCGGATGCCTTTCCCTCGGAAAATATTAATTCGCAGTAAGAGAGATTCAGTTGCTAATAAGATGTAAAAGGCGTTCGTTTGATGCAATCAACTGCGTAGTCTGATACATGAGATAGAACAAAAGACGTGGCGTCAGAAAAGTAATTAAAAAAAACTACTGAATTATTTAATAAATTAACACATTATATATTCTGTGCAAGGTTTCAGACCATCATGATCAATGTGAGACCTCAGTCTCCTCCATGTGGTTTCTTTTTTATGCTTAGGTGATTCAATGAATTTCATATTGTTTATGTACCTGTAGATTGAATAAAGGACAATACTTCAATGCTTGTCCTTCCTTTCTCGTTTGTATTTATTATGAAATCACATGTAAGTTTAGTGCATGTGAATAATGACATTGGCTACCTCCTTCTGGCACACCCTGTATGAAGTGAAAGACAGATTTTCCCCTTCATAGCTGCCATTAAAAGCTGATCTATGAGCAAAATCGAAGTTAAGCTTTCCGAATCTGCTATTTCCGTCGGCATGAACTCTGATGTTCTTTTGAGTCTGGCTTAATGAACTCAAATGGTTGCATGTATTGGTGAGCTGGCGATTCATTGCTTTGAAAACTACTTTGGTGAAAATTTCGCATACCATTTGGACTTTTGCAGAAGGGTATGTTGCAATACTCCCAGCTGAGATTCTCGTATGAGACGAAGCACCAGGGCCTCTTTCTGAATCCTGGATTCCGGCAGTAGTTCCAGTCTAGTTTAAAATTCCATGTTTCCAAGTCTCGTTCCCATGGGGCACGTCTTACGTCTTCGATGGAGAGATGGGACACCATGAAGTCATCCAATTCTTTGCTTTCTGGTTTATCTTTCCAATGCAAACACTTTTTTCCTGATTCTGTTTGGCTTCGAGTGCCCATATATTCTTTCCCCATCTCCGTCATGCGGCATTCAGGATATTTTCGTGGGGCATCACCTGCATGCGTAAATTTTTATAAATTATTTTTGGAACAAGTTTAAAATAACGGAAGTAGCAAACTCACGCTGAATGAACGTTGATTTAACATTATTTTTTTCAACGCAGCTAACGTTGAAGCCACGTTGCACTTTCATCATCGATTCTAAATTGAAAGTTCATTTCTGTCAAAAATTAATTCAATGTTCACATCAACGGAATATCAATAACTGATTCATTGTTCGACACCACATTGCAACGTTGCTTCAATAGTTGCTAATCAACGTAATTCCATATTGAAAATCCATTTTCTTCAATATTGAAGAAATGTTAAATCCATGATGTTCAATGTTGATATGACTGGTCTCAAAAATCTCTATAATTCGTGCCCATACGCAATTTCACGACTAAGGTATTATTGATTAAAATCTGGACACGATCTTCCTCCTCCAAATTCTCTTTTTTAAGAGTATTCCACCATCCAAGGACAATGTGAACTTAATACCGAGAAGAAATAGAGTGATCATGTTACCCAGGAATCAGGACACTGGTGTGATTACTGTGATGTAAGAAGAGGCTACCCTCCCTCCACGTATCCTTCGGCAGTGATAATGATTTGCATTCAGACACGGTGCCGTGGTCTTATGGAGTAATATGACCTCCCAATTTTTTTTTTCATGCCCATCACCCAGTTCAGATTTATCCTGGATCCTGTTTGGTTGAGTTGCCACTTAGATCGAAAATATGCAGGAAGTCCAATTCCTTTCCCGGTGGCATTTGTAGAGAAAACATCAAGTACTGCAGCAAAAGTACTTTAGACGCGTGCTGATTGCTTAAATACAGTAATTATGTTGGGTAAGTAGACACTTCACACTTCGCGGTCAGGAAATCTTGTTTGTTCCCATGTTTCGCCAGGCATCCGTTGATAAAACATTATCCGGAGAAAGTTCTCGCAATATAGCTGTCTTCAACATGGAGTCAACATTGAATCGATGTGGAAGCATCGATGCCATACTTTTAAATTGACATATAAGCCTTGCTGAAGCAAGCGAAGTTGCTTTACGTGAGTCTGTCCATTTTTTGGATAATCTATAGCAATTCGATATGTGTGAAAGGCATTCACCATACTCAGGTAGTTATATTACGCAGCAACGGTGAAAAAAAAAAGATTCAAATGGGAAATACTGTACGTGATGACCATTCACCATCAAGACTGTCACCGAACAAGATTTCTGCATTATAAATTAGGAAAGCAAGAGTGATTTCAGCAGTCATTGCAATTCAAGCCTGATTAGAGCATATCTAACTAGTGTAGTCCCTTAACTTCTCCTACACCAGGAGTGTCAAACATACAGCCCACAGAGGTGGTTCATCCAGCCCGCCTTCTGTACTTTAAATTTCCACTTTGGTTGAATCTAACAGATCAAAGGTGGAAAGTCAAATAAATAAATAAATAAATCTCCCCAGTACCACGCAACATTGAATCTAAATTGAGTACGTGCTGATTCAACGTCTGGATAATGATTCATTGTTAGGTGCTCTACCTAGAATAACCGATGAAGTCAGGGGGCTTGATATCCTTCTTAAAAGCAAAAAATGGTTTCCTCGAAATATTACTCAGGTAGCCCTAGGTGGCCCTTGTAACTCAGAGAGCCTTATTTATGGTAGCACGTATAGGGGGTGAGAATCCTTGATTCTAAATTTCAAATTCCAATACCCAATGTGGCTAGGTCGGGCTGTTTGTGTGAAAGCAAGTAATGGTTCCATTTGCGGGTGTAAACTTGACATCTTCAAGTCAATCAATTAATTAGCTTTAAAAATGAACAATAAATATATATATTTTAAATATCCTTTTACTAACATTACGTTTGCATTGAGACAATTCCACCGTGTCTGATGCTCAAAAATTTTTTCTCCTTTTTTTTTGCTTGTTTCCGGCGACCTTTTGGCTTGTTTCCGGTTGAATTACCTATTCAATTGAATCAACTATTCCGCATGTGTGTATGAACGGTGAGAGTCGACGCGTTGATTCAACATGGAAGTACACATCTTCAACAATGATACATTCAATCCACACCAATTTTTTGTGCTACCTGGGAATAGCCATCTTGACTGCTTTCCCCAAACTTCCATGCCCGCTTTATCCTATATTGAATAGTTCCAAATACAAGTTCAGGTTCTACCTAAGCGTTACAAAAGCTTCCAACATTCTCAACTTCAATTTCAAGCCGTATCATGTTTCATGCTGTGTTGGGCACTTTTTGAGGAATCGACTTGTAAATAAAAAATATGAAGAAAAATATATACTGCCACTGTTAAAAATAAACTGTTCATGATAGTCCTAGTTCCCAAGTGTTTTTCCTATGACTAGGAGGCAAATAATATTGCAGATTCAGGTCTGGGGATGTGCAGGAATGCCGCTGGAAGGTGTACCATTCCTAAGAAAAGATTAAGACCGGCAGAATCACAGTAATAATTTAAACTAGTCGCGCAGAGCCATGCTTGCGGACTTCGAACTTTCTCCCGTCCCTTTGTAACGAAGATCCGTAGTATTGTACAAAAGATCTTAATTCCAGGGGACTGTTATGACTCACTTGGATCGCACTGGCTCCCTGCCTCGCATGCTTCCTCCTGATCATCAGGCCCACAGAAGACGACATCGCAATATTCCCATAATAAGTCTAAGCCACCAGAATCCTTGATGTTGCACCAGGGACCGCCTGGCTTTCCATTCGGATTCCTGCAGTAGTTGTGTTCGACTTTGTGCTCATCCGGGAAAGTTGAGATGCTGATAGTAGCAAATCTATCCTCTTCCTTGTTCTCCGCATCTTGCCACGGTTTGCATGGGAAGCCCGAAATAGTCACGTTATTCCTTCCCATGTATTCTCCCCCTTTCGGCGTCACTTTGCATTCTCGAATACCTGAATGTGCCATCATCGCACCTTGTTCTGCGCATCTTGCCACGTTTTGCATGGGAAGCCCGAAATAGTCACGTTATTCCTTCCCATGTATTCTCCCCCTTTCGGCGTCACTTTGCATTCTCGAATACCTGAATGTGCCATCATCGCCAGTTAATAAATAGTTTCAGCAATATAATCACTGGAATGCATGAATGATTACGGAAAAACTGACTTACGACTTCTTGTAACACCATTTATAATTTGTTTAATTGCACCATTTCCAACTGCCATTATGCCATGCTGGGTCATGCCTTTCTCTAATTTCTCTTATTACACCAAACCAAGTTGATTCTGTGCCCACGTATGAGGAAAGAAAAGCCTCCTTTACGGATCGGTTGAGCTGTTTTGAGCATTCCCCCTTGAAGAATCAAGTCCAGAGAGTGAAGAAAAATTCCCTGTACCCTCCTCAGCATGGAAATAACGACTTTAACAGAAATAACTCTTCCCTCCATCGACTTGATAAAGTAATCGTAGGTATGCTGATGTTCTCTGCGGCATGAATCGATGATGCAGACTTTCTCGATTGCGCCATCACCATTATGTTCAATAATTTTTCTGCTATGTAGGGCCACGCATAGGGCCGCACATTGAGCAGCAGCTCGAATTCTATGGGATATGGGAGCTGACAGAGAACCCAGTTGTTTTTCTTACCTGCTTTTAATGGATAAAGAGTGAGTTCATTGGCGTGCGGATAGGAAATCTGTGGAGAAAAGAAATTTCCTTACTACGGATCGAGGAATAATGCTCGATGAGCCATACTTTTGTCCGTTACTGAGACACCTTCGCACTCTGGCCCCACCATTACATATGTTGCATCGAGATGGCCGAAATGCTCCCTTCTGAGACTTCAATGCAGTTTCTTCCAATTGATTATATGCTGGCCACGGTATTGAAATCGTCAACACTATCTTTTTACTGTAGAAGGACAGACATTCAACAAATGTTATGCCTTGTGTTCCATGGAAGCCAAAATTACATTGCATCCTGGCATTAATGAGAAGGTTCCATTTGATGCCCTTCCCCATTCGAACCATCTTGGAGGCAGTGTGGGTATCTTCCTTGTGCAATGTTCCATGATTCGTGCCAAACCAAAAATTTGCTTTAAGCATTTTTTCCATGCTGGTCAGCGAAGTAAATCAATCCTGAAGTCGTTTTTCCAAGTGGTGGAAGGAAGAAGAACATTGGGTTCAGAGTGTGGTTTCTTCAACCGCCCCCCTCCCACCGGTCCTTCTTTGAACAAGAATTCCTCGAGGTGAATGCTCAACACTGCTCGTCTCAACCATAAAGGAGTGTTTCTCTTCATCATCCATGGACACGGAATCATGTTGGTTTGGGATACTCAATCTTATAACAGTCACTCTATTTCGAAGACTATATATACGAGAAGCTGCTACTTAGAATCCACATAATCATGAACGTGTATCAAAAGAAAACGCGAAAGCTTCATGTTCCTCATTCTAAGCTCATTGTAGACATTGCTGTTGATGAATATCGAACATGCCAAATAATTTTCTATGGGTAAGACGAAATTGGAAAAAGATTGTCCTGGAGAACCGTTTTCCACTCTCCAGCGTTGCGAAACGTTATGAATGCAATTTGTCTTTCTTTGCAGTACGATATTATTTGTTTCAGAGACCACGTGGACTATTTACCAATTCGTGGTTATAAAAAGCCAGACGTTACATAATGATTTGAACAGTGCTCTCTGTCCTAAAGGGGAATGAATCATTTGTGCCATGCCACGTTTCATCTAAGACCTTAAATGAAACATCATTACGTTTCGAGTAATAAATGATTGTTTACTGTTTGACAAACTCAATATAATTACGGCTGGTTTCCAATAGCGCTGGAAAAGTACAAAAGAAAATGGCACCTGAAATTCCCCATTCTCGCGGACTAGTTGATGCTCTGGGATGTAAGGGTACATTTTCTTCTCGCCTCCCATTTCAGAAATACTGCATAAATTAGTAAATGTTAATTGAAGCATGTAATATTATTTTATTTATTATTTTTTAAAAAGAAGCATTCCTCTAATCGTTGCATTTTGTACGTAACATATAGTTCATTTAAATTTCCGCATTGTTCCTTTGTAGAGACAAAGCTGCTACTTGGAATCCACCTAATCATAAACGTGTATCAAAAGAAAACGCGAAAGCTTCATGTTCCTCATTCTAAGCTCATTGTAGACATTGCTGTTGATGAATATCGAACATGCCAAATAATTTACTATGGGTAAGACGAAATTGGAAAAATGCAAAAATTCAAGAAAAATGCAAAAAATTCATCGAAATGATTGTCCTGGAGAACCGTTTCCCACTCTCCAGCGTTGCGAAACGTTATGAATGCAATTTGTCTTTCTTTGCAGTACGATATTATTTGTTTCAGAGACCACGTGGACTATATACCAATTCGTGGTTAGCCAGACAAGCCAGACGTTACATAATGATTTGAACGGTGCTCTCTGTCCTAAAGGGGAATGAATCATTTGTGTCATGCCACGTTTCATCTAAGACCTTAAATGAAACATCATTACGTTTCGAGTAATAAATGATTGTTAACTGTTTGACAAACTCAATATAATTACGGCTGGTTTTCAATAGCGCTGGAAAATTACAAAAGAAAATGGCACCTGAAATTCCCCATTCTCGCGGACTAGTTGATACTCTGGGATGTAAGGGTACATTTTCTTCTCGCATCCCATTTCAGAAATACTGCATAAATTAGTAAATGTTAATTGAAGCATGTAATATTATTTTATTTATTATTTTTTAAAAAGAAGCATTCCTCTAATCGTTGCATTTTGTACGTGACATATAGTTCATTTAAATTTCCGCATTGTTCCTTTGTAGAGACAGTAATATATTCTACATATCTTTATCACACCAACTTTCCAAGGTATTCCAAAGGAATGTGCTTTCTTACTCAAGTCTTCGCAGAGGGGAATCCAGCAGTACTCGGGATGGATGTGGCCGTCATCCACGAAGCACCAGGGCCTCTCTTCCGATGTGGGATTACGGCAGTAGTTGTCATGCGAGAATGGGTCCAGGTTTATGAAGTGCTCCTTGTAGAACAGGAGCAGTACTCGGGATGGATGTGGCCGTCATCCACGAAGCACCAGGGCCTCTCCTTCGATGTGGGATTACGGCAGTAGTTGTCATGCGAGAATGGGTCCAGGTTTATGAAGTGCTCCTTGTAGAACAGGTTTGGGTTGAACCCATCCAGAGAATCGACATTAAACAATTCAATTAATTCCGGAGAATCCCATCTGAAGCAGTCTTTCCCCATCTCTGTCTGATTTATACTTCCAGTATATTCCTTCCCCATTTCTGATAGCCGGCATTCTGGATATACCTCACCTATGAAAAGAATTGTCTTGGCAAAAAAAAATATTTCAGGAAAGCATTTGAAAAACGCATTGAAAAATCGTGAGATTTCATAGCATCGTTCCCTTAAGTGGCTACATTCCATTAATTGATTACGAATCATTTGCTGGCTTGATAAACCCTCTTGAAGTGAAACGTGTGTGTGAAACGGAGAAGAAAAAGGGGATTCGTCCAAATTGACGCCAATCTGCTTCATTTTAGAAGTGAATGCATATAGGCTGGGCAGTTCTTCACACAATAATAGCAACGTAGAATACTGACAAACTCATAGTAGCAGACTAATGTAGAATAATGTTGAGTTACAGTAACGTAAACGAAGTAATGTCTCACTTAAGCAATCCTAATGTCAAAGGAAAGCTTACTGCGTGCATCTCTTCGGTCAGAATGGCATATGGTAGGGGGATAAGTCGTTAATCAGATTGTCCCGGAATTGACTTGATCTTATTCTTCCGGATAACCAATGGTCGAGAAAAGCATGATTATATAACCCGACCTGATGCCAGCAGGCTTTTGGCTTTGGGGATATCTCAAGTCTGTCGTGCATCATGTGGCATATACCTCATCAATGGACCTCAAACATTCTATTCGCCATTTTGTGCCCACGTTACACCCTAGTAGCACATAACATTGAAAAAACATTGCCTCAACATTGGCTCAACGTCCGGATAATGAATCAGCGTTCAATCAACGTTGTTTCAATGTCATGTGCTACTAGGGCAAGGACAGCTTCAGTCAGCCGTCTATCATTACATATCCCGAACGCAAGCAATCTTTGCCATGAATGGAGGCAATATTGATGAATTGTATCAAATCTTACAAATGAGTAAAGGCTGGTGGCCATCTTCGATAACAATATACTCCTCCCCCCGTTGTCCCAATAGTGTTCATATCACAGACTACAGCCTTAAGTTGCATCGTTTGCTTATTATAACTGTCTGAACATGGGAAGAAACCTGATATTGACCCTTTATAGAGTTTCTTCATATCGAAAAGCAACATTGGAAACCCTTTGCCGCATTTTTGTGGAGTTCAGGGCGTGTCGTAAAGCTTGCATATCTGGATGGATTAAACCTATCCCTAGTGTGTTTCCTCGCCAGTATGCAACCAGATGGACCTTGTAGCATTGGACGAACTCCACCTACAGACGGCAAAGTCTTTCTCATACTGCGTTTAAATACAAACACTCTCTATGGGGCTAGCCACACCTCTTTTAAACGTAATTGATAAACAGTACTATTCTTTTAGCATCTTAACTTTTCCACTCTACTGGATCTTCATTTTTATGGTAACACTTTATAATAACCTTGTATATAATAAATCTAGTAGTGGAAAGAGCAAGGACTATATCCCCTACTGGATTCCTCCCTTTTAAGAATTATTTCCTCAATCCTGGGTATTAAGTTAACTTCAATTCCCACCCTCTCTCGCAACCGTTGATTTTGAAAACTACTGCACTCTACGTTTCAGAGGCCCTTCGAAGTGGTAGATGCTTGTATGACTTCTCCCCTCTTTAACCTTTTCTCTGCCGAACAGGATCCCAGCGATCCAAAACGCGCCTCATATGAATGCCTTCACTTCTAAGTCTATACATTCGAAGGCCGCTTATTAAACCTCTTCAGCCACTTTAAATCGCTTCGCTCCGAAGGTCTACAAAATATAGTAGAATTCTCTGAATAGAATACGGCACGAAATGTAAAAATGACACGTGACCTAGTTCTAGCAAATAAAACCTTATGAATGCTAACTTTCATGAAAAAAATCAACTGGACGTATAAAAAACCCGGGCTTTCAAAAATATCAATCCTTAGAAGTCTCTCTACCAGAGAACCCACTTACCTGAAAAGCGCTAATGAGCATCTGAGTAGTTAGAAATGTTAACGTATTTTAATCATGTTCTAATGATCTCTGTTCTAACAATTATACCCCAATTCTCTTAACCTCCTTTTCTATCTGCAGATATCATTCTCACCTCAAACACACTCCTCTTCTTGCATATTTCCTACCCTTTTCACGCATAGCGGTTTTTATGTGTTGTTTTTTGCATCTTCTTTGTATTCTTTCCCCAGTCACATTTCGTTAACTGGATTCTGTATATGATGAAGTAAATGAATCCAGGAGGAATGGGTGGGTTCCTATATTTTCAGTTTTCAAAAATGAATTTTTCAAATCGCAGAAGTGCTTAAATTTAAAAGAATCTAATGTCATTCAATTATCAATAACTTAGTTCCAGAGTTTCGTGAAAGAGGTTTCAACGCTCTGGACCGAGATGTGCACAGCCTCAGTTTAGACTCAGCAAAAAGGAATATTACCATTCCCCCAAACTCTTCGTTCCTTCTCCCCCTCCCCCTCCTCTCTCACGCATTTTATATGCGACAATCTTACGTGGATGTGGACATGTGGGGGCCCTCTCTTCTACAAACGTCGAGCACCAAGCATCAGGTGCCCTGGAGGAGCAAGTGGTCGTGTGCTGCTTGGAACCGTCGCTGAATCCTCTCGGGTGCTTGCAAGTGAAGATGACCATGCCGCCCTGTGGGACTGGATAATCACCTCTCCACCCCACGAAAGTTTCCTCAGCGTTCTTCATCATTGGGTAACCCGTCAGGCACAGGACTGTGTCGGCGACGAGTGCACAAAAAACAACCCTGTGACCATGGCAATATCTCTCACTCCTTCAAATACGTAGTTATAAATAAGAAACCAGCTATTCCAGCAATACTTCAAAAATTGTTGCGGCAATAACACATGCTGGAGGACATTATGGAGCACCTCATCCGTGCCTTGGTGTTCCTTGAGGTGTTCTATTGCGAAGAACACTTCCGCGAATACGTGTGCGAAAAGGTCGGAACACCTCAGTACACCCGAGAGAACACCGTAAGGACCAGTACTCAAACGATGATCCCAGAAATGTCAGAAATTGGCCAGGAAGTAAACCTAGAAGTAAATGATGAGCTTCCATCATTCTGAAAAAAAAAGAGTAAAAGGGGGATGAGGGCGTTGGGACCAGTGGTCGGGACTGTAGAGTGCATATCTCTTGAGAGGCCTTCGCTGCCTGAAGGCAAAAAAATCCCTCTGCCATCTTGGGAGAGGAGTCGCACGACAGAGTGAATAGTATGATGGGGTGGATGCCGGCGTGACGTCCCTCCGCGCATGGGACCCGGGGGAAATTGCCTCTTTTAATTTCCCCTAGTCTAAAAGCTTGCTAATAACTCCTTCCCGCGACTTTCACCAACGTCATTAATTAGGGTGGGGAACTTACTCAAAGTTCTGGTATTAGAGTAGAGTAGGGATTAGATCCGTCTACGTATAAATACAAACCCCCAATGAACATTTTTCGCATAATGTATTCATAGACTTTATACCCGATGAGGAAGAGAGTTTTCTACATTCATGTTGAAAAAAAGAAAATAATCAGTAAGCCGCATATAACATTATAATTATGTTCCTTGAAAAACCATGATTTGAAAAGGGANATGCAACCAGGTGGACCTTGTAGCATTGGACGAACTCCACCTACAGGCGGCAAAGTCTTTCTCATACTGCGTTTAAATACAAACACTCTGTATGGGGCTAGCCACACCTCTTTTAAACGTAATTGATAAACAGTACTATTCTTTTAGCATCTTAACTTTTCCACTCTACTGGATCTTCATTTTTATGGTAACACTTTATAATAACCTTGTATATAATAAATCTAGTAGTGGAAAGAGCAAGGACTATATCCCCTACTGGATTCCTCCCTTTAAAGAATTATTTCCTCAATCCTGGGTATTAAGTTAACTTCAATTCCCACCCTCTCTCGCAACCGTTGATTTTGAGAACTACTGCACTCTACGTTTCAGAGGCCCTTCGAAAACCATCTACGAACATACTGAAGAGGGGAGAAATTGGAAAAGAGACGGCTTGTCCTAGGGTCGCTAGGTTTTGCGCGGAGTATACTTACGGAAGTGAAGATTCAGATATGTAAGCTTCCGGCGAATAAAAACCTCTTCAGCCACTTTAAATCGCTTCGCTCCGAAGGTCTACAAAATATAGTAGAATTCTCTGAATAGAATACGGCACGAAATGTAAAAATGACACGTGACCTAGTTCTAGCAAATAAAACCTTATGAATGCTAACTTTAACTTTAAATCGCTTCGATCCGAAGGTCTACAAAATATAGTAGAATTCTCTGAATAGAATACGGCACGAAATGTAAAAATGACACGTGACCTAGTTCTAGCAAATAAAACCTTATGAATGCTAACTTTCATGAAAAAAATCAACTGGACGTATAAAAAACCCGGGCTTTCAAAAATATCAATCCTTAGAAGTCTCTCTACCAGAGAACCCACTTACCTGAAAAGCGCTAATGAGCATCTGAGTAGTTAGAAATGTTAACGTATTTTAATCATGTTCTAATGATCTCTGTTCTAACAATTATACCCCAATTCTCTTAACCTCCTTTTCTATCTGCAGATATCATTCTCACCTCAAACACACTCCTCTTCTTGCATATTTCCTACCCTTTTCACGCATAGCGGTTTTTATGTGTTGTTTTTTGCATCTTCTTTGTATTCTTTCCCCAGTCACATTTCGTTAACTGGATTCTGTATATGATGAAGTAAATGAATCCAGGAGGAATGGGTGGGTTCCTATATTTTCAGTTTTCAAAAATGAATTTTTCAAATCGCAGAAGTGCTTAAATTTAAAAGAATCTAATGTCATTCAATTATCAATAACTTAGTTCCAGAGTTTCGTGAAAGAGGTTTCAACGCTCTGGACCGAGATGTGCACAGCCTCAGTTTAGACTCAGCAAAAAGGAATATTACCATTCCCCCAAACTCTTCGTTCCTTCTCCCCCTCCCCCTCCTCTCTCACGCATTTTATATGCGACAATCTTACGTGGATGTGGACATGTGGGGGCCCTCTCTTCTACAAACGTCGAGCACCAAGCATCAGGTGCCCTGGAGGAGCAAGTGGTCGTGTGCTGCTTGGAACCGTCGCTGAATCCTCTCGGGTGCTTGCAAGTGAAGATGACCATGCCGCCCTGTGGGACTGGATAATCACCTCTCCACCCCACGAAAGTTTCCTCAGCGTTCTTCATCATTGGGTAACCCGTCAGGCACAGGACTGTGTCGGCGACGAGTGCACAAAAAACAACCCTGTGACCATGGCAATATCTCTCACTCCTTCAAATACGTAGTTATAAATAAGAAACCAGCTATTCCAGCAATACTTCAAAAATTGTTGCGGCAATAACACATGCTGGAGGACATTATGGAGCACCTCATCCGTGCCTTGGTGTTCCTTGAGGTGTTCTATTGCGAAGAACACTTCCGCGAATACGTGTGCGAAAAGGTCGGAACACCTCAGTACACCCGAGAGAACACCGTAAGGACCAGTACTCAAACGATGATCCCAGAAATGTCAGAAATTGGCCTGGAAGTAAACCTAGAAGTAAATGATGAGCTTCCATCATTCTGAAAAAAAAAGAGTAAAAGGGGGATGAGGGCGTTGGGACCAGTGGTCGGGACTGTAGAGTGCATATCTCTTGAGAGGCCTTCGCTGCCTGAAGGCAAAAAAATCCCTCTGCCATCTTGGGAGAGGAGTCGCACGACAGAGTGAATAGTATGATGGGGTGGATGCCGGCGTAACGTCCCTCCGCGCATGGGACCCGGGGGAAATTGCCTCTTTTAATTTCCCCTAGTCTAAAAGCTTGCTAATAACTCCTTCCCGCGACTTTCACTAACGTCATTAATTAGGGTGGGGAACTTACTCAAAGTTCTGGTATTAGAGTAGAGTAGGGATTAGATCCGTCTACGTATAAATACAAACCCCCAATGAACATTTTTCGCATAATGTATTCATAGACTTTATACCCGATGAGGAAGAGAGTTTTCTACATTCATGTTGAAAAAAAGAAAATAATCAGTAAGCCGCATATAACATTATAATTATGTTCCTTGAAAAACCATGATTTGAAAAGGGAAGTTGGAAACGGTTAAAATCGCATCAACAAGAAACATTTGCTTTGAGTGCGGTGAAGGTCGTATTAAATAATGAAATAAATCTGGATGCGATCTCGTGAAACTCACATTGGACATATGTATTGAACCCGTCTGAGGGGACAAGGTCGCTTCGGTTATTTTGAATTAGCTGGCAGGAGCCATCCAGTTCCCTGAAGTTGAAGGCATGACAAGAGCGGGTGGGGATGGCATTCGAACATTCAGATAAGCATTCCCCAATGTTCATTACTTGCAGCGCACGCGACACGTTTCCGTACCTCTCCCCCTTTTTCCCGGCAGAATACACGATGAACTCGGAAGATGTTTTAGACCGGAACAAGCAGGATAGCGTTGTCAGCATGAAATGCCAAGCAATCACCCTATAACAAGAAAAAAGGAAAGCAAAAAAACATATACCAGGTATACCAGGCACTGAAATGGCGTATGTTAGACGCTTACGAATACATATATAAATCCTAGTTTTAACATACCGTATAATGGGATTAGTTGACCCCATGGGGTTAACTTAAATCATTCCATGGAGGAATCAAAAAACAGTGAAATATGCAAGTTGCAGCAAGAACTAGTTTCCGTTACCTGTTTAACGAATTATTTTCCTTCTCAAGTAGTTCGACTTCAAAATATTTGATTTTGTACAGTAATTAAAAATTGGTTATAAATATCATTTAAAACATTGGCAACTGATACGTCCTCAAGTATGCGGAAAACAAGCGTATTTTAACATGGAAATACACTTTTTATTTTTGTATTTTGGGCATATATTCTATCATAAGTCGTTTCTTGTCTTGTCAGATGATGGCAAGCAAAAATTATTTCCTAACGAAACGTATTCCTTTCATCCCTGTATTTTTTTTATTTGGATCTCATTTTGCTGACACTAGGGTGCGAGGAATCCAATTTATTTTTTTTAGGTGCAGAGTCACATTTATGGAATCCAGTCCTCCAGACTTACCTTTAAAGTAAGTAATCCTTTTCATGAAATTTCATTATACTTTAATTCATTAGTTTCCATTATATTTTTAGCTATGATGAATCATATTTAATTTCTTAACCTTTCAGACATGCCAAAAAATAAATACTAACACAAACAAATCACACTTAGGACCAAACCTAGGACCAAACTGAACATTAGTGTCATGAATCTAACAGGATCAACATTGAGGTGTCCTCACAAGGATGACACTCTGGACTATAAGCGTTAGGACTTTCTTGAGGTAATCAAACCAGTAAACTACATCAACACGAGGGTAGGGTGTGAGGTGTCAGGAATGTTTAAATTCAGAATAATAAAAAAACACTAGAACACAGGATGTTTTCAAGTTTCTCGGTTTTTCAGATTAATGGAAACTTTCTTGAAATGTTCATCAGGAAATTCCACATTTCCATATATTAGGCTGCAACTGGAATATTAGAGGGCGAAAGATGCGTTCATTTCCCACTTCCCCATTAGCACATAACATTGAATCGTCATTGATGCAATGTTCAGTCAACGTTTGGAAGTTGATTCAACATTGAATCAATGTTGTTTCAATGTTATATGCTACTAGGGCCGAAAGGTTAGTTTTTAAAACAGATTTC